GATGGCACTAGGAAGGGCAGTTAGAGAGGGGAGGCAAACCTGGGGAGCAAAGCCATGTCTTGGGGCCAAGAGACAGATATCCTGGGTGTGTTCAGAGACAGAGGGAGTGACTGGCTGTGTCCAGCGCTGCTGGCAGGTGCAGCAACGTGGTGGGCAGCGCTGACCTTGGCAAGAGCTGTTTGGGTGGAGTGGACGGGGTGGGGGAGGGGAGCCCAACCCTGGTGGGCTCAGGACAGGGGGAGTGGAGAGAGAGCAGGCAGACCACACTTCCAAGAGAATGTGCTAGAAGGAGATCCAATAACCAGGGCAGAAGCTAGAGGAGCGTGTGGAGTCAAAGGGTGACTTTTTAAATACAGGAGACATTCCTGCATGTTTGTGGCATGCTGGTGAGGACCCAGAATGGGACAGTGGCAGTGCAGGAGAGATGGGGCCGAGCGGCGGACAGCCTCAGGAGGAGGCAGGGGTGCGAGTGCATGGCCGGGCAGGACACGGGGAGGTGGGGATGCCGGGCTGGGTGGCCTGACTGCCTGGGGAGGGTGGGGTGCTGGAGGCTGAAGGGGGCAAGGGAAGTGCTTGTCTGGGCAGAGAGTCCGTGAGCCGAGCAGGGGTCGCAGAGAACTGCGGGACAGCACGGAAGGGGTGGAGGTCGCGTCACCGTGTTGTCGGTGGCTCTGTCCTGCCAGGTTCCGTGGTGTGGGTGTCAGAGCGCAGCGGGCAGGGCCCCGGACTCAACTGGGACCGGGTCTGCTGGGGGAAAGGAGGAGGGTGGAGTGGGTGGCTGAGGGTGTCGCAGCAGAGAGAGGAGATGAACCGGGAGGGCGCCCTGGCGGTGCCAGCGCCCCGCCCCTGCCCTGGAGGTGGCAGTCAAGGTTGGGGCTGACAAGGGGCCAAAGAGGATTGCAGGGGACTGAGAGGCGAGGCCGGGCTGAGTCTGGGGAGCTCAGGGCGCGGCCTCTGCCTCTCCCGTGGCGGGGATGGGGCGCGGGTCGGGGGTCGTGTGGGAGGGCGGTTCCTGGGGGTCAGCTCCCCTGTCCTGCTAAGCAAGGGTGTCCTCGATGGTGGCTTCTGGCAAAGGTAGAATTGGAACCAATTGTAAAATACACATAAGACAAAATGTACTGCTATAACCATCTTAAGTGCACGGCTCTGTGGCGTTAAGTACACTTGCACTGTTGTGCCACCATCACCACCGTCTGTCCCCAGAACTCCTCATCTTCCCAAACTGAAACTCTGTCCCCCTTAGACACTGTCTCCCCCTCCCCCTGCCCCAGCCCCTGGCAGCCACCGTTCTCTTTCCGTCTCTGAGTTTGACTACACTAGGTCCCTCCTACAAGTGGAATTGTACAGTATTTGTCTGCTTGTGACTGGCTTATTTCACTCAGCATAATGTCCCCAAGGTTCGTGTATGCTGCAGCGTGTGTCAGAACGTCCTTCCTTTTTACTCTGAGTAACGCGGATAGACCACACTTTGCTTATCCGTCCTCCTGTCGATGGACACTGGGTGCCTCCGCCGTTCGGCCACTGTGAATAGTGCCGCTATGAGCATGGGGTCCAGACATCTCTGAGACCCTGCTTTCAGCCTTCGGGTGTATACCCAGCAGTGGAAAGGCTGGGTCAGACGGTAATTCTATTTTTAATTTGTCACAGCAGCTGCACCACTTTGCATTCCCACCAGCAATGCATAAGGGTTGCAATGTCTCCACATCCTGCCCACACTTGTTATTCTCTTTTTGTTTTTTTAAATAGTAGCCATCCATCGGCAAAGTTCTTTGACAGACATTGTTTCATTTGGTGAAGAGAGGGGGTCCCCAGGGGTAGGGACAGCTTGAGAGGAGCAAGGAGCCTGGGACAGGCAGGGTTGGGGCAAAATCAGCAAGTGACATGTTTGGCTGAAGCCCAGGAGTGTAATCAGAGCCGAGGCTGGAAGAGTGGCTGGGTGAGGCCAGCCGTGGAGGTGCCACCAGAGGAGCCAGGATGTGACGCCAGAGGCGATGGGCTTCCAGCAGAAAGTGACAGGACCACAGACCAGAACGCTGATTAATCCTCGACTGAAGAGTGCAGGGTGGCTGGAGGGGAAGAAGCAGGAGGTTGGGGAGCCGGAGAAGAGATGCTCGGAGCCATCTGGAAGAGAAGAGATGCTCCCACCGCCATGGCCTCCGACAGCTGCAAAGCCTCATCGGGGGCCCAGCCCCAGGCCCAGCCGGCTCTTTATCGCCATCATCTTGGGGCCTGGGCAGGAGGGCATGTGGTGACCCCACTTTATAGGTGAGAAAACTGAGACTCAGAGAGCATAAGTGACGTACCCCAGTCCCCAAAGCCAACAAGCAGCAGAGCTGTGATGCAAACCCAATTTGTGTTTCCATCATCCCACAGCATTTATTGAGTACCTGCTGTGTGCCAGACCCCACGCTGGGGGCTGTTTGACACCAAATCCACTGCTCTTACAATCCACCACACTGGCTCAGATAGCGATCAACCTCCACGCTGCTCTAAGACAAGAAGCGAGACGCGTGAAGGTAGCTCACAGGGCGTGGAGAATGCGGAGGACAGCCGCTGAGAGGGGACAGGGGAGTCCCGAGCCATCCACAGCCTCCCCTCGCCAGCAGACAAGCTGATCATTGCCAAATGATGGGGTTATACAGAAAAGGAGGGCTTGGGGAAGGCTTCAACCACAGGCAATCTCAATTCCTATAGGTCAACAATGGCCAAATAGCTGCACTTTCATGTGATTCAAACTACTACAGACTGATGTCATTACTTCCACTGGGTTTCATCCCTTCATCCAACATTTGGTGGGTTCCTACCAAGTGCCAATAGTGGGGACAACAGAAGGGAACAAAACTGACGGGGGTCCTGTCCTCACGGAGCTTGTGGTCTGCTGAGGGTCACCGATGTAAAACACGTCGACCCTAGAGCAATGGGTCGGGCAGCCCATGGTGGGGGTCATGTGTCTGGGGCATCGGGACAGCTTCCCCTATGAAGTGCTGTCCAAGCTGAGACCCAAAGCATGAGTAGAAATTGCCCAAGCAAGGAGGCATGGGGAAAAGTGTACCAGAAAATGAAACAAGTTCCAAGGGGCAAGAAGAGCCCGGAGCATCGGGGGAATTGACAGGGACGCCTGGCCAGGGCTCCCCGAGCAGGTAGGCAGGTTAGCAGATAAAGGGAGACCAGGGTTGTCATCTGTTTAGCCCTCCAAAGGTTAAGACAAACAAGGCTCAACATCAAAAACATGATGTTTTTGAAACGTTTCCTGCTGTGTTTTCCCTTTTGCTAATTCAGTATATTTTTTCTCTCTCTAGCATCTTCACCACCGTGAAACTTAAACCATGAGGCTTTGGCTCCATGAAGGGCTAGGTGGGTAACATCTGTACCACAGAGGAGGGAAGAAGGAGACCGTGACATGAGGAGAGCCCCGGCTAGACAGCAGTGGGGAGGGGAAGACCCTTTCAGCGCAGAAGGAGACAGGAGGGGAGGCCGAGGTCAGGCATGAGGGGTCTGGGGGCAAATAGTTTTGGGGGATCTGAGGATGTCCTACCTGGTGCCTGTGCCCCCAGGATGTGTCCCAAGGAAGCTGAAAGGCTGACCGTGGGCCTGACACTGCACCCACATGGCCAGGCTGCAGCAGAGAGGAAATGGTTGAGGGTCCCCAGTCCCCAGGCAGATGGGGCTGAGGACTGTCTCACAGAGACCCACTGCAGCCTAGTGGAGGAAGCGTGGGAGCTGGGAGGATCCAGGGATGGTATTATGAGTTGAATTGTATCCCCAAAAGAAGTATGTTGAAGCCCTAACCCCAGTACCTGTGAGAGTGGCCTTACTTGGAAATAGGGTCTTTGCAGAGTGATTACATTAAGATGAGGTCGTTAGGATGGGCCCGAATCCAACATGACCAGTGTCCTCATAAGAAGAGGAGAACGCCATGTGAAGATGGGGGCAGAGGTTCGAGTGGTGCAGCTGTAAGTCTGAGGCTACCAGAAGTTGGAAGAGGCAACAAAGGGTCCTCCCCAGAGGCTTGCGAGGGATAGTGGCACTGCCAAGACCTTGATTTGGGACTTCTAGCCTCTACAACTGGGAGAGAATAACCTTTCTGTTGTTTTAAGCCACCCAGTTTGTGGCACTTTGTTATGGCAGCCACAGGAGAAGATGAGAAGAGGCTTGACTCTGAGATGAGAAGTTTGGAGCAAAGCAATTAGAGAATGCACCAGAGAATGCTGCTGCGACACCCTGAGACCAGTGCAGACCAGGGCAGCCACACCTGAGCAGGTGCAGTGACAGAAAGAATGAGAGACCCTTTCCCCAGCCCCTTTAGGCCACGTAAGCTTCTCCATGCAACAAGACACCATCTTCTAAAGGAAACAGAAGGGAGACAGCCCTCAGTGCGGAGGGCAGGGCTCACAGGGGTAGGGCTTTGAATTGACCAAATATTTGCCAGAAAGAGACTGACTTTTAGTTTTATACCCTGCACTGTCCTCACCAGCCAGATATCAGCAGGAAAGGGGGCACAAGGGCAAAATGAGATCAGTTCTAAAAAATCAAGATTTTTCACACACTTTAGTCCAAGAAGGTACATTTTACCCCACTACATTCATTTTTACAGAGACAGTCTCTGTGGAATTGGGGCACCTCTTTAAGCACAGATAGAGGAGAGGATCAGGAAGGAAACTGAGATGGGGTGAATAGGTGCATCTGCAGATGGGGTGACCCAGTTTATCATGAGGATGTTCACTGGAGCATGAATTATAAATGCAAGATGTTGGAAGCAACCTACATATCCAACCACAGGGGACTGGGTAAATGAATACAATGGACTACCATGCAGCCATTAAATCATGCTGTCAAAAGTGCTCTAATAACACAGTGAAAAGGTTGTGATAAATACTAAGTAGTGGTAATAATAATAATAAATCAGCCTAAAAAGAGTATCTACAGTATGATTCAAATATTTACATGATGGCACTGTATAAGACTGACTTCTTTAACGAAAACTCCCAGAGTTCAATGGCTTAACACAATAAAAGTTTATTTCTCCCTCAAGACACTATCAAATGTGGGTTGGCAGAGGATGGAAGGGGGTTCATTACTCCACTGAGTCACTCGGGAATCCAGGTTTCTTCCAACTGGTGGCTTGGCTGCTCCCTAGGGTCTTGGAGTGTCTCCCTGGGACCCTCCCATCCTAAAGGAACAAGAGAAGAAAGAACATGGAGGATCAGTAGAAGATTTTATGGGCCAAGCCCAGAAGTGTGTGACATCACTTCCTCCCACATCCCATTGGTCAGAACTAGTCATGCGCCACCTTACCTGCAGGGGAGGCTGGGAAATGTAGTCTAGCATATGTCAGAGGAGACAGGAAGCAAGATTTGCTGAACATGCAGCATTCCATCTGCCACAGTTAATATGCATAGAAAACAGTACAGCAAGGAAATTACCACATTTCAACAGCGAACATTTCTGGATGGTGAAATTATAAGCATTTAAATTTTTTTTCGTATTTATGTTACTTGAGTTTTCCAAATTTTCTCAAATAAACTAGTACTTTTACGAGGAGGGAAAAAATGTAATTTAATAATTGACAAAATAGTTTACACACTTCTTTTGGGATTTGGAGAGGCTTGCTTAGTGGTCAGAATTTGGGGTCAGTCTTATAGGTTATTTGAAAGTTACATCACATTCTGGCTTAGTCCATTCAGGTGCTATAACAAATACCATAAACTGGGTGGCTTATAAACAAAGAAATTTATTTCTCACAGTTCTGGAGTCTGGAAGTCCGTGATCCGTGCACCAGCAGATTCGGTGAGAGCCGACTTCCTAGTGCATAGATGGTCTTCTCATGTCTTCGCGTGGTGGAAGGGGCAGGGCAGCTCTCTGGGGCCTCTTTTATATGAGAACTAATCTCTTTATGCCCTAATCACCTCCCAAAGGCCTCACCTCCTAATACCCTCACCTTGGGGATAAGGTTTCAACATATGAATTATGGGAAACACAAATATTCAGATCACAGCATCTTCTTGAGCCTTAAAGTCTTCACATCTGTAAAATGGAAAATTAAAATATATATCACTTAGAGGATATATGTGAAATGAGAAGAATTGAATGAGAAAACACGTGAAGGACCATTTGCATGGTGCCTGGTACAGAGTGAGCCCGCAGCAAAGCAGACGGCTGCTGTTACTGTTTCTGGCAATGAAATTCCTTTCCAGTCCATCCCCTCTCCCCTCTCCCAGCTACCACTCTGTGCCTTCTCTGCACCCCTCTGACCATCAACATGTCTCCCCGACTCTTTCTCATCTGATGATCTGCTTTCGAGTTCAGAGGGACAGAGACCATAAGGAATGGCCAGGGACTGTCACCACCACTCCTTCGCCTCCAGTACCTGGGCCACCTTCTCCTGCTTCTAGAGTGGGGCGCCAGATCCCAATCCCATCCCCCCAACCCAGGACATGCTCCAGCCGCCTCCTCTCCCTGTCCTGCATCACTGATTTCCCCTCCCTGTTGGATAAGTCTCAGGGGCATAAAAGGAGCCAGAATTACTCCCACCTTTGCAAAACCTTTGCACGCCTCTCTCCAGCTACCGCCCCATTTCTCTCTCCCCTTGTTACAGTATTTTCCAAAAGCATTATCTACCCACGTGACTGCATCTTCTCATCTCATGCTCCCAGAACCCACTCCAAACAGGCTTCATCCCCTCCACTCCTGCGACACTTCCCTTGTCAAGGTCACGGGTGACCTCCCGGGCCAGTCTGCATCCCCCTCCCCCTCCTGACGCCCCTCCCACCTCACCCTACTTCTCAGCTTTCTTTGCTGGTTCCTTCTCCCGCCTCTGACCTCTTAAAATGTTGGAATGACCAAGACTCAGTCCTTGGGCTCTGTTATGGGTTGAATTAGTGTCCCCCAAAAAGATGTGTTGAAAAATATCATCCAGGGGCCGGCCCGGTGGCGCACTGGATAGTGCGCCGCTTGGGAAGCACGGCGGCGCTCCCGCCCGAGGGTTCGGATCCCACATACAGACCGGTTCCCGCTTGCTGGCTGAGCGAGGCGCGGGGGTGGCGCCGAGGGTTGCGGTCCCCGGTCCGGTGCGGGGGCGACACTGAGGGTTGTGATCCGTTGCCGGACACGGAAAAAGACAAAAGACAAAAAAAAATATCATCCAGACTTTAAAAGGAAGGAAATTCTGATGCACGCTACGATGTGGCTGAACCTTGAGGACATCGTGCTCAATGAAATAAGCCAGACACAGAAAGACAAATACCTTATGATTCTGCTTATATGAGGTCCCTAGAGTTGTCAAGCTCATAGAGACAGAAAGTAGAACGGTGGTTGCCAGGGGCTGGGAGAGGGGAATGGGGAGTCGGTGTTTAATGGGGACAGAGTTTCTGTTTGGAAAGATGAAAAAGTCTAAGAGATGATGGCGGTGGTGGCTGCACAGCAATGAGAATGCACTTCATGCCACCGAACGGTGCATTAAAAATGGTTAAGGTGGTAAATTTTGTTCTATGTATTTTTCCACCATATAAGAAAAAGATAACCTAAAAGTTTAAAAAAGGAAAAAAGATCTGTTGAAGTCCTATCCCCAGTACCTCAAAATGTGGCCTTATTTGGAAATAAAGTGTATTTCAAAAAGTTCATGGAAAAATAGAATTAAAAGACAGTATGGATCTTTCCATGAACTTTTTGAAGTACGCTCACAAGATCATTACAGATGTAATTAGTTAAGATGAGGCCACACATGAGTAGAGTGGGCCTTTACCCTTACTTGCTGGGTGGTCCCACTCAGGCTGGCAGCGTTCAGTGGTGTCTCTGTAACCGTAGATCCCACACTGACATCTCCGTCCAGCCCACCCGCCCCCCACCCCCGGACTCTAGACACATCTTGACAATGACCTCCCTGGCTGTGTAATCGGCAACTCAAATGTAACGTGCCTGCAGCAGAACCTCTGTTCTTCACCCAAAACATTCTTTCTCATCTCCGTTGATGGCTCCTCATCCAGCCAGTGGCTTGAGCCCAACACCCTGGAATCATTCCTGACCACCTTTTCTCATAACCCCCCATCCAAAGCACCAGTTAATCCTGGCAGCTCCTCCTAATGAGATCCCAGGCCCAGTTCCTTCTCATCTACTGCATCCTCCTAGCCTGGACCCTTGCACTAGCTGTCCTGGACCCTTGCACTAGCTGTCCTGGACCCTTGCACTAGCTGCGCTGGACCCTTGCACTAGCTGGACTGGACCCTTGCACTAGCTGGCCTGGACCCTTGCACTAGCTGGCCTGGACCCTTGCACTAGCTGGCCTGGACCCTTGCACTAGCTGGCCTGGACCCTTGCACTAGCTGGCCTGGACCCTTGCACTAGCTGGCCTGGACCCTTGCACTAGCTGGCCTGGACCCTTGCACTAGCTGGCCTGGACCCTTGCACTAGCTGGCCTGGACCCTTGCACTAGCTGGCCTGGACCCTTGCACTAGCTGGCCTGGACCCTTGCACTAGCTGGCCTGGACCCTTGCACTAGCTGGCCTGGACCCTTGCACTAGCTGGCCTGGACCCTTGCACTAGCTGGCCTGGACCCTTGCACTAGCTGGCCTGGACCCTTGCACTAGCTGGCCTGGACCCTTGCACTAGCTGGCCTGGACCCTTGCACTAGCTGGCCTGGACCCTTGCACTAGCTGGCCTGGACCCTTGCACTAGCTGGCCCCCCTGCTTTCCCCCTCCATCCTCAGTATTCCCAGCACAATAGCCAGGGGGATCCTCTTAAAACATAAGTCGGTTTATGCTCAGCTCAAAATCCACCAGTGGCTTCCCACCTCTCTCCTGGTAAAAACCAAAGTCCCTAGGTGGCCGCCAAGGCCCCACAGAGGCCTTTCCTCCCAACCTCCTGGAGTCATTGCCCACCGCTCTTCCCCTCCCCAGCCTGGCCACTTGCTGTCCCACCTCAGAGCCTTCGCACTTACTGTTCCCCCCTGCTGAACACTCTTCCCCACACAGCAGCTGACCATGCCCTTCACCACCCACCAGCCCCACCCCCCCACACACAAAGTCTTTGCTGAGATGTGGCTCCTTCTACGAAGCCTCCCAGCCCCCTTATTTTACATCACGATACACCTTCTCCCCCAATTCATTTTTCTCCATCGTGTAGAATGTCACCTCTCTTGCTCTTCCTCTTGCTTTGGGGTTAGATGCTCCTGAGGAGATTCAGAGGGGAAGGGTGGAACTGGGACCTGGCCCAGACCCTCTGTCAGAGAGTGGCCAGGCAGAGGACACCTACTGTGAAGAGGTCCAGAGTTATGGGAGGAACCCAAAAAATCAGAGCCAGCAGGAGCCTTGCAGAGCTCATCCCTCTTAACCTCACTGAGGGAAACCTGTGGTCCATGATGGGAGGGGACCTCCCCAAGGTCCCGGGTCTCCTGGACTCACATGCAGCCCTCTGTCCCTTGAGCATCTAGAGAGGGCACCACATAGAGCAAATTCTCTGCAGAAGATCTTATTTTTGACGGTGGCCAAGGCGCTGTGCTCAGTTCCGACTTGTCGTTGGACCCTCCCTCTGCACTGGGGAGGACACTATCATTGTCTCCAATTGTCAGAAGAGGAAGGTCAGCAAGAGGAAGCAATTTGCTCAAGGTCACACAGCAGTAAGGGACAGAGCCCACTTTGAGCCCAAACTCCTCACACATCCCCTCCGCTGCTCCCCGGAACCAGAGGCCCATCCAGCTCTGAAACCCGGTCCCATCCCCACGGTCTCCACCACGGCTCCTCACCTGCAGAGGGGGGCCACCACTCTCATCCAGTTTATTTCTGGAATAAAATGGGGATATGTATGGCCTGGCCCGTGGGAGGCAGTTGGGAAGTGACAAACGTGCAGTTGACATGGGTCCTCGGAAGTTCAGCAAACATGAATCACTTTTCCTTTATGATTTTTTATAAGTTTTTTATTGTAGTCAAATATACACAACAGAAGTTGCTGTGTGAGCCATTTTTAAGTGCATTTTCAGGTTCAGTGGCACGAAGCACATTCACAGTGTTGTGCAACCGTCACCACCATCTGAATCCAAAACTCTTTCATCTTCCTAGAAACTCTGGCCCCATGAAACACTCACTCCCCATTTCCCTCCTTTTTCTTTTGAAAATGAACCTCCTGCCTACATATCCTGGTTGGGCAGTCTGCGGGAGGGGAAAAGATGACAGCAGGCTGGCAGGACAGTGAGGAAAAGGAAACAGGGGACAGAGGAAAGAAGAGGCTCTGGGGAAGAGCATCCAGGAAGCAGCTTCTGAGAGGCTGGGCCAACCCCACCCAAGGCCAGCCACAACCTCTCCGCCTGAGGAGGGGCCACCTCTTCGATGACCAGACGGGTCAGGCCAGCCCCACCTTTCTACCAGCTCCCACCACCCCTCCAATCAGGGACAGCCAAGATACTTTCCCAGCCCAGGTTTCTTCAAAAGCCAACCATTGGTTAACCTCAGGAGCCTCAGGGTCCTCATCTATAAAATGGGGTGCGGTAAGA